GAATTTTAAAACATTTGATAATTGGGAGTGTGGGGCTTGTAGATTAAAATCATCTGACCGAAGACCTAAGAAGACTGAAGGTTTTATTCCTGGTTAAGAATTATACTTTGGGCTTAAGTGATAATAATATAACTTTAATGAGGAGTAGATTTTCAGGCGGAGCCTATTTGGTCAGAGATAGGCAAACCGAGACCCTTTCTCTTCTTCTACTCTTGCCGTGATGTTTTCTTTCCAGCCATCAAGATCTGGCTGTTATAAGATTATGTGATCCTGTGGTCGGCCTTACGGTTGTGAGAACTATCGACCAATCCATAAAATTAGCGGAGCACAAGAATGCTTGTAAAGGAAAATGGATCGAAGGTTCAGAAGTGGTGGAAAATATGACGAAAACTGGACATGACACGCAGAGGTTTGCTGATTATGGTGTCGCCTACAAGGCACAAGATAAGACTGGCTATTGAAATTAGTAGATTAGTGAATACGCTGAATGTGAGGAATAGTGGCAGAAAGTTGAGAAAGAATTACTTATGTTTGATTAAAAGATTAAAAGAGAAAGGTTAATATGAGAGGTATTCACCCAATTTCGTTTAAGGTGATGAAGGACTGGTAGAAGAATTTTCCCAAAATATGAGTGTAGCTGACGTTTCCATTGAATTTCACATAGCCTTGCTTTCCCAAAAGCTACAGTATCGACCTCGAATCGGTCTTATCAACACCCCCAGCGGGAGTCGAACCGTGACAGTGCAGAATGGGAGCTTGACACGTCAACCACTCGGCCACATTGCCACGGGTGCCCTTGGGTCACAGGGCAGACGTGAATTTCATGGAAGGCCAGGCCTTTTGTCATATCATATTCTTTAGTGGGATCGTCGATGAAGCAAACGTATATTTGCTATAACAATCGACTACGTGGCAATGCGGCCGAGTGGTTAATGTGTCAGGCTCCCATTCTGCACTGTCACGGTTCTACTCTCGCTGGGGGTGTTGATAAGACGGATGTGAGGTCGAAACATCAGTCCACCCTGGACGAGAACAACTTTTGGGAAAGCAAGACTATGTGAAATTCAATTGAAACGTCAGCACTACTCATATCATTGTGGGAAAATTCTTCTACCAGTCCTTTATCACCTTAAACGAAACTTGGTGAATACATCTCATATTACTGATTTGCTGGTAGTCTCGATACAATACTTAAAATGCGAGAGAGAGAGGATGTTGAGCCGCCGTCCAAAAGAAGACGACTCATTTTGTCAGCCGAGTTATGGTTATAATCAAGCTAATATTCGTTCAACAGATATATCAAGCTCATCAGCTTAGAGACTTTCGGGGCTACGCAATCTCAGCCAAGCTTCGACGTGGGTCATTAAACCTTAATAACCCAAACTAACGGGTTCGGACTGATGGTTTCATAACCTGACTTTCACTTGTAAACACTAAAATCTCATCAATTTAGCCAGGGCTACTTACGGACTAACGCAATATCGGTCATCCTTTTTTCCTTTGGTCATTAAGCCTTCATGACCCAGGGCTGATGCTAAGCCTTTTCTAATTAATTTGAGCTATGATAGGTTTTGCATACAAAACACACAGACACACTATGGTCTACGTGAATTAACCAAAACCTTTTATATCCATCTATATCTTAAATTTTGCTCGCAATGCGTGTATATATATTTATATATATATATATACATACATCAACCTGAACGTCGTATTAAGGCCAAACGGCCGCAGTATAACGCGAATCAGCCGACATCTGATGTGATTGATCTACGAATTTCTTCATCATGTACTTCCATAAGAAATGAAAGTCTTTACATCTATCTTATCTCAGGAGATTAATCGAAAATCGCATTTTCTTAGTATATGCTTTCAACAGGCTAATACGATTGTCTGACATTATCTAGAAATGATACAAAGAAGAGTGACGCAAAATAGAGGCTAGTAAAGTAGAAGCCAGTAAAATCAGGAAGGAAACCTGAGATACCAGCGGCATCGAAATGAACAAAGCTGACAATGATGAGTAGCGAACACTTTACACCACATACACATGAATAAATCTTCAATAAATATAAGAAGCTGTGCTAAAGGCGCTCCCAGGATAGGATATTATCCTCTCTTCATTGCCAGCATATACTAATGCTGATTGTTATGGTAAATACAAGAGGATTTATCGAGATTAAAGGAACACTTTCATTCTCGTCGTGACACTTCTGTCTCCTGCGAAAATTCATTTAAGCTATGACTGGATTTAACTAATATGACAACTAAGTGGGGTAATTTTTCAAGAAACTTGCCAGATGATTTACCCTACGGCTGACACGCGTAAGCAAATAAGTTGGTACGACCTCGTTTTAGCAAGTTGTCGGGGCGACCATTGTCTCTTTACGCTCCTGAAAGACTTTCCAGCATTGAAATCTGCATTATTCGTGGGAGGCACTATCCTTATGAACGACTTACAACTCATCAATGACAAGTGAAGCAATCTCTTGGACCAACGCCCTGTTCGAAGATAAAAGCATTCATCTCTCCTTTTTTACCAGACTACTAATGTCGTCCTCAATACTACTTCATATGTCCAAGTTTCCCACCTATGTCTCCCGGTATCTTCATATGTTCCAATATCTTACAAGTGTAAGGCCCTTCAATTGCGAAAACACGGTTATATCAACTCAATACGGCTGAAGATAACTGCGATTAAACCTATGGCCACACATTTGGTCGTCCTGTCTGCTATGAGTCAACAATAGAAAAAATACCTTTTGGCCTCTGACATTCCAAGTGACTTGAACCTCACTAAGATAAATTAAAAAAAGTAAAAACATTTAAAATCTTTTTATAGGTTGCTGATAGATAAACCACTTAGATTTAATGTAGACGAACCACTGCAAGCATTTATAACACCTATTATGTGGACATGAAATGATTGAATTACAGCAGGCAAGGTCTTTAGATGTGATGAGTCTTGTTAGATGAGTTTCTCGGAATTCGGCCTAAGCAAAAGGATGTATCAGGCTTCTTAAAGTTGTCATGATATTAGGCTCTTTTGTTCACGTAAACATTTTTCCTCTTAGATAAGGCCTTCCTAATTGGCTTCTTGGTCGACTTTTTTATTTTCTTAACCGAAGTGTGTCTAGACGCAGCTGAATTGCTCATGTTGGAAGTCGGCGTTATTTTCCATGAAGCATACCCAGAGGATCTGGATCTTGACGCTGGTCTTGCTTTGGACTTTAGACTTCTACTGCGAGAGACCCTAGTCGACTGCTTTTTCTTCGTTATTGCTCGAGTGGTCCCGCGTGAACGTGATAAATTGGAGGAATTACGAGCACGACTAGCTTTGCTGAAAGTTCGTTGAGCAGTTGACTTCGTAAAACTACGTGATTTGGAACGAGAAGCAACTCGCTTTAAACTGCTCGGGACCTTGGGAAATAAAGTGGCTTGCTGCTTGGCGGATACGATGTCATTGCTGTAATTATCTTGGGCATCCGATGACATTGTGGGATGGATGGTGACTGCCACAAGCCGTGTGTAACAAGCAAGCGAGATGTTGGCCAGATAATGAACCGGCCTAGTTCACGGTGGCGGATCGATACTGCTTAATTTATGTTTAAATAATAATTGATTGAAGTAAAATGTAGTGAAAAGCTAAAATTAAAGTGCAATTTTAGTAATAAGGTAGTTTAGATAAATATTACTTAGATAGCAATAGTACGGGCATGATACGAGGGCTAAATGTAGGATTCTAAATCCAGGAGTCATGTAAAATTCAGGTAAGCTCTTAAGAAAAATTGGGGAACAGTTACTTCATGCGTTTCTCTAAAAGAAAATAATCTCAAGTATAGTAAAAAGCCCTTAGCAGTCCTGATTTGAGGTCTGAGAGCTATTAAAGCTATAGCACTCAATATAATGAAAATTAGGATATTATTGAGGGAGAAAATTTGAGCAAAAACCCAAATTTGAGACTGTATTTATTTTATCCATAACTAGCATACTTCAACTTAGATGAGGGTCTTTATGAACAAGTGTAAGAACTTGCAATATGATCTCATTAAGATCCAATTTTTCCTAATAATTACACGCTAAAAAGGCGGCCCTGCTAAATTAAGGAGATGAAAGTAATACCAAAACTGTTTGGTAGGCAGCTGCTTTGCCGCTTGGTTGCGGGATAGTGATATTAAGTGCACAATATAAATAGATATCTTGGTTATCAGTAAGTTTGGCAGGGATATACTAAGGAAACCAGCACATACTAACTGTATTCTGAACTTATTCTTCAACCATAGCTACGAACTAAAGTTTGGTACTTAAAAAGCAATAATTATTAGGAATATATAGATTATTGGGATAATATTCGAGATATCATAAAGAAATATTGAACTTTGCCAAAATAGTATAAATAGAACTCATGATGCCAGTGAATTCCATTTAGCCTTGCTTCCCAAAAGTATTATCAGCTAGGATGGATTGCAGTGTCTGCTCACCTAGATTTCCTCAGCACCCCAGCAGGAATCGTACTAAGTATTGCAGAACTTACTCTTCGCTTTTAAATCCACTTCGCTATGAAGACAAGATTGTGTGATCTTAGAATTTGATGCAATTTTCTTTAATTTTACCTCGTTTTGGTCGAGGTAATAGGGAGACCAAGTGGAAAGTACCTAGTCTTGTATCCTTTGCCACATTAGTCGTGATGATTTACAGCATCAGACATTCCTCGGGCGGTGCTCTGAAGACCTATTCATACAACTATAGTCGCGACATTAAGGCAATCCTACTTCGAGTAAGGCCACTTTACGAATCCATTCTACTCACGTCTGAGATGCAAGGTCAACCAGGCATATACATACGCATCTTTACTGGGGAAGTGTAACTGTGGTATCATACGGAAAGAGCATATAACTCCGATTAATTATGCAATTAAAGTGGTAACCTCTATACGCAATACTGGTCCTAAATCAGCGCGATCAAAAAGGCTAATATCAAGACCCAAGAAAAAGCCGACCGAAATTGCATAGGTCCGTAAGCAAGTGTAGTTGAGGTAATGAGATGTAAGCTTATAGGCATGTAAGTCAGGTTACGAAACCACCATTCCTAACCTCTAAATCTAGGATCGTTAAAGTTTAACTACCCAAAGAAAGGCCTTATCATGGCCACATAATCTGGTACGTCTGGTTTGGCTGATGAGCTTAATCTAACATTGGATGAGTGTGAGTGAAAGTAGAACCATCACTGAAAGGACAAGTTGAGCCGCTTTCTTTTGGATGGCGGTTCAACAACCTCTCTCCTTCAGTCTATCAAGTGAGCATAAGTATTTATTACCCAACTTTCTAGCAGTGTTCCTCACATTCAACGTTTTATGAGATGCATTCACTCTATTTCGTTTATTGTGATGAAGGACTGGTATTAGAATTTCCCCACAATTATATGAG